CTTTAACAGATTCAGTTCACAGCCCTCAGCTGTGTCCTCCTCCGCCACACACTCTGGCCTCCACTCCTCCCTTTTGCTGAGGGAGAAGCTGCAGACGATGATGGTAGACTCACCCACGGTCTCCTGGGTTACTGACTACCTGACAGGCAAGCCGCAGTTTGTCCGTCTTGGAGCTGCCCTGTCTGATGTGGTGGTTAGTGACGTAGGAGCCCCACAGGGCACTGTGCTCTCTCCATTCCTGTTCACCCTGTACACCTCAGACTTTCAATACAGCTCTGAGTTGGTCCACTTGCAGAAGTTCTCTGATGACTCTGCAGTGGTTGGGTGTATACGTGGTGGACGGGATGAGGAGTACAGAGCGCTGGTGAGTGACTTTGTGGAGTGGTCTGGGAGGAACCATCTGCTCCTAAATGTGGCCAAGACCAGGGAGATGGTGATCAACTTCAGGAAGAGGAGGACGGCCACACAGCCCCTGAACATCCTGGGAGAGGACATTAAAGCGGTGGAGGACTACAGGTACCTGGGCGTCTACACTGACAGCAGACTGAACTGGAAGATCCACACCGAGGCTGTGTACAAGAAGGGGATGAGCAGACTCTACTTCCTGAGGAAGCTAAGATCCTGTGCAGCAAGATGTTGAACATTTTCTATCAGTCTGTTGTTGCCAGTGCAGTGTTCTCTGCTGTAGTCTGCTGGGGAGGCAGCATTGGAGCCAGCGACACCAACAGACTGAACAAACTGATCAGGAAGGCTGGCTCCGTAATCGGCTGCAAACCGGACACCATGGAAGCAGTGGTGGAGAGGAGGACTCTGAACAAGCTGTTATCTATTCTGGATAACCCCGACCACCCTCTCCACCCCCTTCTGGACAGGCAGCGAAGCTCCTTCTCAAACAGACTGATTCAGCTCCGCTGTCACAAGGACTGTTACAGGAAATCATTCCTGCCCAGAGCAATAACCCTGTACAACACCTCATCTCTGTCTGGCAGAGAGCATTCTCAGCTCTCTGCTCTGTAAAACCCTTTGTCTTGCACTGTTTTTTCAATTTGCCCATTTTGTACAGTTATTTTATTTATTTTATTTTATTTACTTATTTTTATTTTTCATTTAAAAAAAAATAGTATTTAACTTTAGCCCTTTTTCTGTTGTGATTGGTGTTTTTTCTTGCTGCTGCTGTACCACAGTAACTTCCCAGACTGGGATAAATAAAGTATTTTTCTATTCTATTCTATTCTAAAACTGTGTGACTACAAAACTGACACACACACCAGACTGGATTTTGTTCACTGCTACACCCCTGATATGTACATACAGTACTGTGCAAAGTTTTAGGCCCTTAAGCTATTGAGATTCTTCTCAGTTATGAATCACCATCTGGGAGAGATCTGGTCATTCATGAATACAATCTTTACCATAACCAAAGGCTCAAAGATACAGACAGAGAGTGACGAGAAAAACAAAGAGTCAAAAGCAATGTCTGATTTTCATTGCTTAATTTTCATAGAATTTTTATTTATTATTACTTTTGTCAGATTCAAGTTATTTCTGTGACCATTGTGGGTTTTTGTTTCATTTCCCGAAGGGTACCAACATTTTTGTCCACATGTGTATTTATCACCTTAGGGTCTGGTTAGTTTACAGTTGCGTTTAAAAAAAAACGGTGTCTGCAACCCTAAAATTGGATGTGATGTAATTTCTGATGGCTGTAAACAGTGTATGACAGTGATGCTGCATGCATAAATATAGTGATAAAACAGTCATTGGGCTGTTGAGACATGCTAACTGATGCTTGAACATCTGTTCTGCAGAAAACTAACTGGAAAGATGTCCTGTTTTTTTGTTTCAGGCTTCACAAAGCTCCTGCAGAGCGGCAGTTGAAATTATACAGCCGCTCTGAGTCCAAGGATTTAATGTGCAAAAATAGTTCAAGTAAAACAGCAACTTGCCTCATTTAGTGTTTTTATACTGCTCTTTTTATATATTGTTTCGATTATGCAATTTTCCTGTAGAAGTGGAACAGCCTGTGTATTTTGGAGAGAAAAGTACTCCTCGTCTCACAGACATTAATCCTCCGGAGCGATAAGTCACTTGACAGACAGCAGCAATGGCTCTGAGCCGATAGAAACAACAGTACTGTCTTCATTCATGTTTCACATAGACTCTGCTGACAGCAAGTGCAACCCCCTGCTTCAAAACCTCTGAGCTCCTGAGCGCTGCTGCCGCTGCTTCATGTTTCAGTCTCACAGCTGAGGCTTTTCACCCCGACAGTCAGGATTTCAAACAACCACCATTACATAAACAACAGAATGAACAGCTGAAGGACAGAGTGGCCTTTCAGAGGTGTGTAACTGTTAAAAAAATATTTTACCTCAACAGGAAAACTGTGATGAAATAACTCTTTTTTTCTCGACTAAGCACTGGAAAAAAAAAAAAAAAAAAAAAAAAAAAAAAAAGACTTTTTCTTTTCAGCAGGAATTTAAATAACTTTACCCGGTAGAGGATCCAGGGTCAAATAGTTTTGTGGAATTTAAAAATGGTTTTGATTTACAGGTTTTTAATACACTGTAAATGTCTGTATGTGGATGGATAGAGGACAGTGCCAGTGTCCGAGGGGTATCGGAACAACATTGATGGGATATTGCATGTCTGAGTAAAGTGAAACAATACATTGTTCATGTATCATGATAAAACTGTCTACAAAAGGATGCTGACACCCCTATTATTTTACTGTCCTTCTTTGTATTGTTTGAAGTACAGTTCCCAAATGAATAGAATTTAAATATGTTATACATTGTCAAATTTTGCACTATTAAAAGTATGCTTCACTAGCTCGTAGCAGTCACTGTTTGCAATGTGTCTCTGAATCTACAAACAGAGGGTTATTTTGATATTTTCACTACTAACCACTTTTTCTCTATCAATGAGATGATCAACTGTATTACTAATCAATTAGTCTAAATGATTTAAAAAGAGAAGAAAATCAAGTTAATTTTATTTTGACAACCTGTATGTCATTGTATAATGCAGCACAACTCAAAATACATACAAGGATTATTACAAAGTGTAAAACTGAATGTTTAACTTGGAAACTCTACATGATGAAAAAATAAATACCAAAAGATGGATTATTATTTAAGTCAGCAGTACAACCACAAATATATATATATATACACACATATGTATATATATAACATTCTATTTAATCCCTAACAAAGTGTGCCATCTGTATATTAAATAAAGTGTAACATGGACTCTGTGGATATTTTACAGCACAGAGCAGCTAAAGAGACTCCTTTTCATTGTCTGACTTTCATAGTAGATTCAGACTGAAAATATAGCAGAATTCACAACAAGGCTTTTGTCTTTACCTTTTGTGAATGTGAATTTGTTGAATGACGTTTTCACTTATTATTTCATACCTGTCCTGTTGTCTGACAAGTAATCTGTAAATGAAAACAGCTTTACAGATTTGTCTGTATTAAAATACATATATGAGCACAGACGGCAGGAGAGAAGCAAATAGATATGAAGTGCCTCTTGTCGTTTTCTCATCATGTGTTCATGCACAGTGTACAAACCATCTTTTTGTTCTGTGATCATTTAAAGTACTCCTATTTTCTTGAACCTTTGGGTCTTTGGAAACTTTTACACTGAGCTGAGTCAAAGAAAAACATTTAATTATCCTTATTCAGGGTTACTGATTATGCTGACTAATTGCTTGGCTTGACGTCTGCTTGTTGATGGGAAACATTTGCTAAAAGAAATATTGTGTTTGAGGGTTTTGGAGTCTTTTTCATAAAATGAAAGTGTTTGTGATGATCATAATGACTGTATCAAGTAAGGAAATAACAACTAAAAAAAAAAAAACCCTAAATATAAGGCAATATAGGAGAGCAATATACCGGGGCTGGCCTATAGGATTCCTGCAGGCTTTAGTCATCGTCTTCTTTTATTGAAATCCGTCCCCACATTTGTTAAGATTTTGTAGGCCAAGACAAATTTTCTCTCCCTTTTTGTCTTTTTTGTCCCGCTGACAAATGTTTCCCTTTTCTTGTGCAAAGTGTCCACAAAAGGTCTTTCAGACACATGCTGACAGAAACAAGCAGCTACCCAGTAAGACACAAAGCTGAACCTTCAGAATAGTGTGTTCTTCTTAGAAAGTGTCTTTAATGAGCTCCTGCTGCTGCTGCTGTTGTTGTTGCTGCTGCTGACAATCATGTCGGCATTGTAGTTGTTTTTCCCTCCTCCTGTCTCTGTGAACGGACCCTTCTGTTTTCTCCTCGCTGAAGTCCTGGTTGATATGGGTCAGGTCCTCTCGAAAAACCAGGACAGTCCATGGCCCTATTGATGACAGTTCATCAGCATTCAGGAGGGGCTTCGGCCATCACCACAGCAACGAATACAACTGCCCCCCCACCCCTGTGCTCCAGAGTCTTTAATCTGTGATTCACTCAGTCATCCCTCTATCAGTTTGTGTGTCAGCTGCAAACAGTGAACATTCGAATCATTTACTGTCATTATAAATTAAAGGTTCAATTTAAAAAATGTCACAAATTATAGATGAACATTATCAGCAGGTTCAATGTTGTAGTCACGTTGCTTTCTCCTCGACTGAAGACGACTGATTAGAATAAGAAAATGATCCTTTTATTACAATAAAAAAATATTAATCTGATTTGGATTCTTCTGAATTTGAATTTTCATCTACATGTATGAAGAGGTCCTTGAAGGGGTTTCAGGTGTTCTCAGTGAGGCTGCAGAGTGCCGTGTAGACACATGAGCATCAACCTTAGGTGGCTGCTTGGACGCAAACCTTACTGTGAGGTGACATGAAAATGAATACGTGGAACTGAATATAGACTTGGGTGTGGTATCAGAGTCGTTGCAGAGTTGAATTGCAAACTTGTAAATGTCTCTGAGTGAAGATGAAAGTTTGTCATGAAAATGAAGCCTCCTAAAATGTATTACATTTACATGAATAGCGTCCTTGCTTCCCTCAGGTCAGCTGGTGGCAGGGACCTGTGAGATCGTCACTCTGGACCGGGACAGCAGCCAGCCCAGGAGGACCATCGCCCGGCAGACGGCCCGCTGCGCCTGCAGGAAGGGACAGATCGCCGGGACGACACGAGCCAGACCGGCCTGTGTCGACGGTAAGATGTAGTCTGAAGCAAAACAGCAACACAAAGGCAGAGAGCAGCAGCTGCAGAAGCAATTAAATTAAAAACGACCAATTTGAACTTTTCAGGCTGGCTGTAAACTGCAAAACAGATAAAAAGGTTTTAATGTTTTCATTCTGGGATTTTTTTTACTCACAAAAAATCCCTGTCCATGAGCAACATCTAATGGAGACGTGTTCAGGGTTTATCTGCCCTTCGCTCAGTGTTGGCTGGGATAGACTTCAGCTCTGTGTGACCCTCGATCAGACAAAGAAAGTGTAGCTCATGGATGAATGGATTATTATTTGTAGCTAATTTGTAGCTAGTTAACAGCAAACAAATGTATTGTTGATTTCTGTCTATAATAGTGTGTGTATGATTTTTATTGAATCCATTTTAATTTACAATAATTCACATTACAGTTATTTTTAGTGTTTATGTGGCAAAAACTTATATTAATAAACAAAACATAAAATGACTACAACTGAAAACTGAATGAGCAGGAGATTGGGTGCTTTTTTTCTTTTCTTCATCACAACTGATTTAACTGCTGCCCTATTAAATTGTGTAGAACAACAAAATACTGCAGTATTATTCGACAAAACAAGACAACATCGAGCTGATTTTTCTATTTTTTCAAAGTCCATTAACATTGAAGATCAACTAGAAGAAAGTGGAAAAAGCTTTTTTTTTTATTTATTTATTTTTTTAACAACAACAAGATAACTTAAATTTAGTTGTTCCATTTTAAACAAAAAAGAGGAAGAAAAGAAATAATTGAAATTTCCACTCTCCATTATCATTGAAAATTAAGTGTAGCAAAAATGGGAAACACAGCTTGTTTTTTTCTTTGGTGTAAATTCCATTTGTCAGATTTATTTTTTTTTTTTTTCAAAATAAAGATGACAGATCGATGGATAGAGTGGACCACAGGTAAAATTAAACTGTTAAAATTAGAATTAAATATGCTAGAACTTCACACTCAGGGGATCGAGGCACTTTGCAAAATGATCAATTGCCTGCAGCTTCACATTAAGCTAAAGGTAGATTTTTAATGTGATATATAGTTTTAGCACTTTACCTGAGGGTCATTAATTATTATTGTGGAAACTGTTACACATATTCTAGATTCCCAACACAAATAGCACTAAATATACAATTACATACGGCATCAACCTCTGTCTCATCCACAGCTGCTACACTCTAGCAGGTAAACAAAGTGACTCATTCCCACCACTTAAATGAATGTATGGTTGCAAAAATAATTTACAATTTACTCATTTACAATTAGGATAAACCTTTTAAGTTGTAAACATTATATCATAGGTTTGGTTGACATAATCATTTGGGAATTGTGAAAATATTATATCATATTGTAATATTGCGTAATATTGTTTATTGTTGAAATTTCTGCATTAGTTAATTTAAAAATGAGGTTTAATTTAGGTTTAGAGAAAATGACTGAAATTAGCTTGATACCAAAATGTTTCTTTACCTTGAGTTCAGTATATCAAGTCCCCTTCCATATCTGAACATGACTGGACAATTTCAGGTGGTTCGGACTGGAAATTGAAAGCACACAAAATGGAGAAACATAAAACAGGACTAAACCACATCAAAAATCAACAAATTTCATATTTTTTTCGGCTTTGGTCCATTTGATTTTAATTGTAATGAACACTGGAAAAACTAACAACCTGTTTTCTCACTCTTTTTTTTTGTTTTTGTTTTTTTATGGAAGAACAAATTATGTTTAAGTAATCTGACCCAAAAATGTCTGTTCATTTAAGACGGATGTTTTTTTTATTATGCGTGTGTAACAGCAAGGAGAGAAGCAATACTACTTGGTCTGAGTTAAGGCAGCATTTGACACATCCTTCTAACATTAACTCATCAGAGAGTTGTTGGACTACATGAACCTACAAAGAAAATATAAAGTATAATCAATATTTTTTAAACTGCTCATTGAAACTGCACATTTGTTTGGCATAGTATTTTATATATAGTATTTTAAAATATAGTTTAGAAAGTCAGACACTATATTTAAATATTTAGTTACTGTGTCTTGTCTTTGTGTGATGGAATTTGACCACTATGTGATCTTAGATTTCTCCTCATGAAATTTAAAAAATGTGTGGATATCCTCAATTTGACATCATTAAGGCAGGTCAGAACATTAGTAAGTTTTACAGTAAATGGTATCTTAGTGTTGCATTGCTACTTTCATAATATTTCAGGTCAGTTTACAGTCCAACAAACAGATACCTGTAGCTTTACTCTAAATCCTCCACGTCTCCACTTCTGGGTTGTGAAGTTCAGAAAGTCACAGCCCAGAGTTACACTGCATTTCATCAGCAGCTGCCTCTTCTTTCTCTTTCTGTTCCTGCCATCTGGAAACAATGACAACAGCTGGAGGGACTCTATGCTCTGCAGGGATTTACAGGCTTTCCTTGTGACTTTTTGAACAGTTGTTTTTCAGATTTAAAGAATCTCTGCAGTGATTCCTGCTGTTTTCTCTTCAGAGGAAGAGCTTCAGCTGCAAAGAACCTCAGAAAGGTTCCTACTCAGATTTGTCTTCAGATATTAGGTTTTTCTGACTTCAGCATCGATTTTCTAGAGTCAGGAATACTGCAGTTGGGACAAAACTATTCAAAACTGTCAAACCCAACAAGATGCTACCAAAACTGTGCTTTCAGCTAATCACAGAGGTGTGAGCTCTCTGAGTTGCTCATAGGATGACTTTTTGTTTTTGTCTTGATGGAGCTCGGTGTGCAGTTTCTCCCTGCTTAAGTATTCACGGTAAAGTGTTGATGATGGAGGAAGTATTCACACCCTTAAATAAGTAACAGTTCTAATCTTACACAAGTACTGTAGAACCAGTACGAGTGTTTTCACTCTCTTACTTCTTGTAGAGTAAAAATACTGTAAAAGTCCATCCACCACTCTATCCTCTGTAGGGTCGTGGGGGCCCTGGAGGATATCCTCAGGGTGAAGGCAGGGGACACCCCGGACTGACACTGAGAGACAAAAAAGGACGTTCAT